ATTCTGGGACCTCAAAATCAGATTTTGAGAGGGTTTTGGTACGTGGGGAAGGAGTTGTCTCCGGGTGAGGCCGGTTGTGAAGCTGAACAGAGGTGTCAAGATCTTCATGGGGAGGTGTTAGTGTGGGTGGTGGGGGTCTGAGTGGTGCTCGGCTGGGAAGCGACCTCGACGTGGTTTTGGGACATTTCCCTCAGAATAAGGGCAGGTTTAGGTCCCTTGTGTTTTGTTTTCCCCCTGGTTCGGAGCAGGGTGGTGGATGGCAGCTGTACTGCCCCCAGGGAGGAACAGCAGGGTTAGGCTGCAGGGTGGTGGGGCCAGGGCTGCCCAGGCTGAGCTGCCCTGAGCATGAGGATCATCCCTTGGGACCTGGGTGACAGCACAGAGTGTGACTGTGCTGCCTGTCCCGTGGCTGAGCCCTTGGTCAGGTTTTACCTCTCTTGGTTCTTGCTGAGCCCAGCATCCTGCCCAGCTTCCTACAGCCCCTCTGCTCCTGGCCCTGCCCCACACAGGATATCTGGGAATGAGCTGGGAGATGAATTGCCTTTTCCTTCCCTCCTTCCCATTTTTCACAGCCCCCTCCTTGCTCTGCAGCTGTCAGAAGCAGTAGGTCCCCACCTTCTACCTCATCCATGCCACGCAGAGTCCTCAGTTAGTTAATCTTGTAGCCAGGATCAGGCCAGCTCTGGATCCCTGTGGTGCTGCCCAGGGAGGGGTGCAGAGCCGAGTGGTTTTCCCACACCCCTGTGCCCTCACTCCTGGTTTTTCTCTGCTGCAGGGGAAGGAGATGCTGACGCAGAAGCTGCCACTGTGGCAACAGTCCTGCTCGGATCCCAACAAGATCCCGGAGCGCGCCATACAGCTCATGCAGCAGATGGCTGCCAGCAGCAATGGCACCATCATGCCCAGCCCTCTGTCTACATCCAAATCCAACCTCATCATCTCTGACCCCATCCCCGGTGCCAAACCTCTCCCTGTCCCCCCGGAGCTGGCACCTTTTGTAGGAGTAAGTATCTCTGTGGTGGAAGTTGTCCTGCCCTTCCGAGCAAAGGTGGAGGGACGAGCCCGGGACGGTGTCACCGTTGTCCTCAGCAAGTTGCCTTTTGATGGGCTGTCCTCCATGTGCAGGGATGGGCTTCTCTGTGCATGTGCTGCCCTGGGATGAGGGAAGGAGCCTGGCATGGGGATGGGCAGCTTGTCCCATCCCATCCTGCTTGGGTTGCTCAGCTCTGGAGGGGCAGGAGCTCCTGGGGTGGTTTGGGGGAACCTGTGCACTGGACTTACCTGGCCAGGTTGGTCCCAGAGCTGTGGATCTGAACCAAGATATCCCAGTAACCTTGGAAGAAGGTGCTTGGAGTAACCCATGGGATGAAAGACCCTCCAAAAAAGGGTTTCCTCCCTGGTGCTGGGGCACAAGCTGAGCAGTAGAGCTCAGGAGGGATTTATTTGGTGTGAGGCACCTTGGAGCAGTGAAATACCATAGAACTGACCTTGTCGCTCCCCCTCGAGCCGTTTGCCTCAGGTGGGCAACTAAACTCAGTTCTGATCTGCTGTGAATCCCTCTCCCAGGGGCTGTGTCCCACTGTGGGAGCTGTGCTGGGATGCCCTAATGAAGACGTTCCCCATCTTCCCCCCTCCTCTCCTCTCCTCTCTCCGTAGCGCATGTCGGCACAGGAGGCCGTGCCAGTGATGAACGGAGTCTCAGGCCCAGACAGTGACGGGTACAACCACTGGTCTGAGATGAAGCCAGCACAGCCCAAATCTTTATCTCCTCCCCAGCCTCAGAAGCAGCTGAGTGACTCTTACTCCAACACACTCCCAGTTCGCAAAAACGTGGCGCCGAAAAACAGCTACGCATCGGGTGAGGATCCCTCCTGCCCATCCTCTGCCCTCAGTGCTGCTGCTGTGCCGTGGTGCCAGCTCTGCTGGGCTGCTGTGGTGCCAGCTGTGCCAGGGGGTGCTCACAGGGAGGGCTTGGCAGGGGCTGGGAGTAGCCGTGGGGAGCAGGGTCATCGGGGTGTTGGGACAGTGACAGTCAGTCTCTTGGCATCAAGTGCTGCTCCTGCCTTTGGGAAGCCAGCAGAGCTGGGGTCTACCCTGGGTCTTCATCTGGGTGGGTTTCAGCCCATGGGCAGGTTATCCAGGAGGAATCCATTTGCTGTGGCTGGTGGGTGATGCCAAGACCGGTGGCTCAATCCTTCCTGGCACCTTGTATGCTAAGGTGTGAGTCCCAGCTAAGGTTTTCTTTGCACCTAGGGTAGAATGAGCAAGGTTAGGGACCTGTCCTGGCAGGGCTGTCCAGCCTGGCCAGCCCCAGGCACGGCCAGAGGGCGAAGGACTTGGGGCACTCACTGGTCTCCATCTCCCACCAGCCGAAAACAAGACGCTGCCGCGCTCCAGCTCCATGGCCGCAGGGCTCGAGAGGAACGGCAGGACGAGGGTGCAGGCCATTTTCTCTCACGCTGCTGGAGACAACAGCACCCTCCTGAGCTTCAAGGAGGGTGACCTCATCACGCTGCTGGTGCCGGAGGCCAGGGACGGCTGGCACTACGGAGAGAGCGAGAAAACCAAAATGTGAGTCCCGCGGCCGCGCGGGGCGGGCGCAGCCTCTCCTGGGTCCCCCACGGCTACACGTGGGTTTGGCTCCATCCCTCCCCTTTGCCTTGCAGGAGGGGCTGGTTTCCTTTCTCCTACACGCGGGTCCTCGACAGCGACGGCAGCGAGAGCGTGGGGGCTGGGGGCGCTCGGCTTCCACGGCACGTCGTTGGGAATGACCCGGGGATGGGGAGGGCTTTGGTTGTGGGCAGGGTGGATGGGCAGCCCAGGGGGTCTCAGCCTGGAGTGGGCTGGTGCTGATGTCTCTCCTTTGGGTCCTCCTCACTCAGCCTGCAGCAAGGGAAGAGCAGCAGCACCGGCAACTTGCTGGACAAGGACGACATCGCCATCCCGCCGCCCGACTACGGCATGGCCTCCCAGGCCTTCCCCCCACAGGGTGCCAACGCCTTCAAGCAGAGGCCGTACAGCGTGGCCGTGCCTGCCTTCTCCCAGGTGAGCCCCCAGGGGCTGCTCCCATCTTTGGGGGGAACCCCTTAGCAAAGGGGGGTGCCCCTGCAGAGCCCCGGGCGTCGGTCCCCGCTGTGGTTTCCAAGCAGGAATCTGTCAGTGTCTTTTGGGTCTCGGCGTGATGTAGACCACGTGCAGAAGGAGGGCTGCTCTCCAACCTGTGTTCGTTGTTTGTAGGACTACCTAATGCCCTATGGTTGTGCAATTAAAGACTATTCCAGTGGCCTCTGCCCACCACCCTCCGCTCACTACAAGCCTTACACTAGGTCGACAGCTGTAAGTCCAAACTCACGCGATGTTTCCCTTGGGATTTACGGCCCCGTTTTGCCCGGCGACCCACGTGCCTTGTCCAGGACCCCATCTCCTGCCCAGCATCTCTCCTGGGGAGGAGGGATGGGGATGCAGGGAGGCGGTGAGAGAGGAGAGCAGCGGATGGGGAGGATGGGCCAGTTTGGCTCACCTGGGTGGAATGGGCAAGGCATGGGGAGCAAATGGCACAAAACGGCACCGTAAACCCCCAAAGGACAACACTTGCCAGCTCCATGGGAGCCTCCCACCAGAAACAGGCTGTTCACAGGCAGCTGGAAGCGTTTTCTCTGGTACATGCCAACTCAAACCAGTGCTGGCCCCGTGGGGACACTGGGGTGAGCATGTGGGGCAAGTGCAGACCCTGGCCAGGGCCTCCCTGGTTGTCCAAACCAAGCCCAGGTCTTCTTGGATAACACGCTGGGGAGGATGCATGTGTGGACAACTTCAGCTTAACCCAGGGGATGCTGGTGTGGTGGAATGAGCCACGTTGGCTTCCCCAGAGCACTTGGCACGTGCCAGCAGATGGGGAGAGGATGAGGAAGGTGAGAGGCAGCTGTGCAGCACCCAACCCTTCTGCCACGTGCTCCAGAGAGGTGGCAGCTCTGGCTGGGGTCTGGTCCTCTCTGCAGGGGATGGGACAGAAGCACAGCTCCACTTCTTGCTGTTTGCTGGGGTTTCCCAGCAGGGTTTGCTGCGGGGTTTAGTGACTGGGAGTGTTCCTGGGGTGATGGGAATGTGGGTCTCTGATCCCTGGTGTGTGTCCAGTGCAGAGACCAGTGACTCCTGCTCCTTTCTGGAGCAATCCTGTGTTTGCCATGGAGACTAGAGCTGCTCTGTGGCCGTATCTAAGGGCAGGTCCTCACCTGAGGAGTGACATCCTTGAGGAATGTCCTCCAAGCCTTGTCCCCATCTGCTCCTGTCCTTCCCTGCTGCAAAAGGCCGTTCAGTACCAGCTGAAGGAGAAAATGGTCCAAAACCCTGTGGGTTTCTGGTGGGAGTTAATACAGACAAACACACCTCTTTCCACAGAACATTTCACTGGTGTCTCTCAGACTTGTTCAGTCCCTTTTCGTGTGTCTCACATCTCGAAAGTGGCTGGAGCTCTGTGCCACGGTGGGACTGGGCAGGGCAGGCTGGGGCTCACCCAGCAGCTGCTTTCTGTCTTGCCAGATAAAGCCCTGGTGCAACTTTACTCCCTGCTGTCTAAATCCCATTTAAATCATCTCCATACTTTCCTCTCCAAATGCACTTGGCCCTGGCATCCCTGGGTCCTGATGCACTTTGGCCTGTCCGTGTGACACTCCAGCCACCCTGGAGCCCACGCAGCCCATCCCTCACCCTGCTTCCTCCCCTCCTCTCCGCAGGGTCTCGACGACTACGGGACAAGGTCTGTCAGCAGGTAAGACTTCACCTTCCTGTCGCCGTGTTACCTGGCAGGGAATCCTTGGTGTTGGCTCTGGATGGAGCCGTGGGGCCGTGTCCCCCTGGGATGGGGCCGTGCCGCGGAGGACACGGTGCAGGTCTTGTCTGTGAGCGCAGAGGGACCCAGCATCTCCCGGGGAGGGCAGGTCCTGGGGCCACCCTGACCTCACGGGGGGTGGAGCTCACGGTGCCCACGGTCCCTGCCACCCTGGCAGTCTCCTCTGCTTTGTTCCACAGCGGCAGTGGCAGTTTGGTATCAACGGTGTGAGGACACCTTGGCTCGCGGCGGCCCCTTTGCTGCTTGGAAGAGCTTTCTGCTTCTTTCCTCCCTTTTTTTTTTTGTTGTTTTTTTTTTTTCCTTTCCCCCTCGTTTCTCTTTCTCTACTTCTTTTGGATTTTTTTGAACTCTTGTGATCTTCAAGGAAACCATGGTGCTTCTCCACCCCTCCCCGGTGTTCACAGTGCCCTTGTTTCTGAAGCCTTTTCAGAGCAGAAACTGCCGATGGGTCTGTGCTGGCTCTGAAGCAGCCTGGATGCAGTTGACACTGTAGTGGGACCCCCGTTTTTGTACTCCTGTGTCAATGTTAGCCACGCACTCACCCTC